TTAGAAACCACTCCGGCATTTCATGAGCTCGCTCCAGTGAATTGTTTACTGTATAATAGTGCACTCCGGCACTTGTGAATAGCATTCTGAAACATACTTCACTGTTAAATAGGCAGTCAGACATCTGTAAAATGCACTCTGGCATATTTGAAAAACACTCCGGCAATTGATGAACTTGCTTCGGCGAATAGTTGACTAAAATTGAGACTCCGACACATGTGGAAAGCACTTTGGTGAACATGTCTATGTAAAATTGAACGCACTCCGGCCCATGATGAAGAGACTCCGGCGCTTCATTCATATAAGTCTGACACTCAGCTTCCTGGACGAAAGGCCAATCCGGCACTCACTACCTTAGTCCGGCGAATAACTCATTGGAATCACGGGCACTCCAACATATGAGGATAGCAGACCGGCAGTTTGCTTCCTGAAATCCCAAGCACCCGGGGGTTTGTTTGCCTCGGTCCGGCGAAAACATCATTGGAATTGTGGGTTATCCGGCATGTGAAGAACATCGAACCGGCAGTTTCCTCCGTGTAAATTTTCCAAGCCTGCTATTCATCGCATCACTCTACGGATATATTTCCTGGAAAAACAGGCACTTCAGTCCGACGTTTTAGATATTCCTATCCGGCATATTGTTTTCTCATAAGCACTCCAGCGAATAGTCACCGCGGTCAGGTGTTAATGGAAATTGGGGTTCGTCCGCAGGATTTGATCATACATTCAAGGTACAGGAAGGGGTATTTTTGTAAAAAATAATAAACCTTTTTCAGTTGGGGGGTTTTAGTAAGGAAAGTTGGTTTTTTTTATAAAAAAGAGTAAGGAAAGATTAGAGTGGGGGTAGAAGGCCTAAAAACCTCAATTTGGGGGTTTTTTTTTACTAATTTTCCCTTTTCAAAAAACATTTAAAACAAAGCTTTTTTGAAAATTTCATAAAAAAAATGCATATTTTTTATAATACCTTAAAAAAAGTGATTTTTTGAAAAACGAATAAAACAGGACCAAAAAAGCATTCATTTTCTTTCCGATTTTACAGAGAAAAACCCAATAAAATAAGAAAAGCCTTGTTTCTCTCTCTACAACCATAAGCTTTGAAACCTGTAAATTACAGAGAAAAACCCCATTGAACCATAGTCTTTTTGCTGATTTTACAGAGAAAAACCCAAAAAAATGAAAAGGGACATGTTTCTCTCTAGAACCTCAAGCATTGAAACCTGTAAATTATAGAGAAAAACCCCATTGAAAAATTACAACGAAGAAGAACAAACATGAACCTTAATGAGGAGTAAAACAAACCTTGTTTGCAAGAATCTTGTTCTTAAGTTGATGGTTTCTCTCTGAAACCTCAATGCTCTTATTGCTCGTAAACCTAGTTTTGTAGCAGTTTCTTCCATAATCCTGAAAATACGAGGTATGGTTGCGCATTGATATTGAATGCATATGCATATGCTCTGAGACTTACAACATGAGAAGACAAATTGTGGCACTCCACTCCGTCCCACTTACGAAAATTCAACCCCTTCAACAAATTTTGTAGCAGTTCCCCCATACTTTCATTCTCTCATCTATGCATTCTCTCCCTAAAAAGTAGAAATAGAGGAGCCAAACCCAAATGCAAGCACGTATACAAAGTACAAACCCTAATCATCAACCGTAGTTATAAAATTGTTATATCATAGTTAAAGAATTTGATGATAAAAAAAATCGTGTCTTTTTTTTTGGTTTGTACTTAAGTGAGTGCAATATTTACTAAAATATTTAATGAGAAAATTTATATGGTGTATTTTTTTGATATGGTGTATTTTTTTTATATGCATTTATCCGATTTTTCACTCCGATTTTTTGAGCCTAGTATGATATATTGGCGATATTTTTACATGAAGCATTTTTGCCAATTCGTATTTTTTATCCGATTTTTTCATCCAACTTTTAAAATAAAAACGGTTTTTTCTCAATTTATTGTAAGCCGATTTATTGATAGTCCTCGACTTGCTAGCTATAGAAGCAAGAGATGTTGAGTGCCTCGACATCACCCGAGTACCTGAAGGAATAAAGGGTTTTCATGGGGTTGTAATAAAGAAGGACCATCACGGTCTTTTAAGTACTATGATAAACCTTCTATTCAACATGGTATTTTAGGTGCCATATAACTTTTGAGAGCCATTACAGTACTTAAGTACTATAAAGCATCAGATCTTTACAATAATACGACTACCTTGAATGCTGTTTTGAAAAAAAAAAAACCAAAAAATGAAAAAAAAAAGGTATGGACAAGGTTTAAGAAAGTATATAGTTTTTTTAATAAACAAAAAATTAAGGTATATTTCTGATAATTTCTCAACTTCTTCCATTAAATTTGTTTTATATAGATTATTTTAAAAAAAAAAAAATTTACATATCCCTTATTTTTAAGTTTGGAAAGGTTTCTATACTTCCCCTACAACATAGAAGTTCTATCCTCCCCCTACCATCAGGCGTCCAATTTTGATTAAGAGTTCCACTCACAGTTTGATCTTAAGATCCGACGTCTCAAAGTATTTCATTTTTAATTTTTTTTTATACAAATTGTATTAATATGAAATTACGTACGTGCCATTTTCTCATTGGGGTGCACCTATAAAAAAATAAAAAATAAATTTTTGATAAAATATAATAATCAAAATACCCCTTGAAACTTTTAGTGGTATTTTGGTCATTTTATTCTATTGAAAATATTTTTTTTTATATTTTTTGCTAGTGCGAGTTTAATAGAGGAATGGACGTCCAAAATTTGGTGTCAAAATAGTTTATAGAAAAAAATTAAAAATAAAATAGTGTAGAAACGTGACATTGTGATTGGGGCAATCTTAGCCCTCCATTCAGAATATATGGTTGGATAAGGGGGAAGATAAAACTTCTATGCTGCAAGGGAAATATATGGTTAGATAAAGGGGAAGATAGAACTTCTATACTGTTAGGGAAGCATAGAAAACTTGCCCTTTAAAATTTCATTTATTGATAAACCTACTATTTCAAAAGATATATTCTAACCCTAGGTCACTTTAAACATAGTTTTTAATCTAAACAAATGTGAGAAAAACTTGCTCTTTCTAAACCCAATCTTTTCACTCTCTTCACTTACATGCACAAAACTTATCTCTTTCTCTCTCTTCATGCGTCTTTCACTCTCATCCCGTGTTTCTCCAAATATTCTATCTCTTCGTGGTAATCTCTCATCTCCATAAAGCCCTTTTCCCTTTCTAGAAATCTGGGATAATCACTTTTAGAAAAGACATATCTTTTTAGATTTGTTTGGCCTAAAAAATTGATTTAAATTAGCTTAGGGGGTTACAAGAAATAAAATATACAGTTTTTATACACCAAGATATCTTTTAACTCCTTGGGTCTATTGTGAAATAAAATCTAAAAATAAGGGATATGGAGATATTTTCTCTTAAAAAAATTAAAACTCCTAAATCAATACAATAATAAAATAAATAAATTGAATGAAAAATATTTATTTTATTATCATTTTACATTTTTAAATTTTATTTTGATTATAAAATAAATTTATTAGATAACAATCACTCAACATGAAACATGCTTTCAGTATTTACATATTTTTGACATAATAATGAAAAACTATAATGCAATTGCCACTATTTTTTTAAAAAACCTACAAACCTAGATTTTTGAGAAATTATGGTATTTATTTAAAATTATTTTAGGCCGAATTCAGCCGATCCAATCGATTCTTTGATCCAAATCGCTAATCCACTAATTCTCAAATCCAGATCGTCAACCCACCTATTCGACAATTTTTATGGTGGCCAATTTGGGCAAGCGATCTATTTTTTAAAACCTTATTTTATCTTAGCATTAAATGTCATCGTGTTTTCAAAATCTTAGTAAACCAAAAGCGTAAAAGGAGGGTACGACACAAAATCTTCAATGTGAAGGTTTCACTTACATGCTCTCTTTTAGTTTTCTTATTTTTAACGATGGATCCTCGCATTAATTTACTGTTGCGTTAGCTAGCTAATGGCACTTGTGACTGCATGATGTCACAGTGAGATTGGATGAAAATAAAATATTAAATATTTAATTTATTTGAATTAATATTTTTAAGTCATTTTGTTATTGTTATTACCATGTAATTTTCTTTTCAGTTTTTAAATCATTTTATTGAGCTTTTATCTTTTGGATATGCTAAGTACTCTTTAAAAGTTTGTATTTGTTTGTAAGAATAATAAATATGCAAGAGAGATTCTAGATTTTTAATAATTTTTATTTTCTTGCTCATTCTTATTTATTTTGAATTACCTTTTAAAATCCATTGTCAGATAAACCATAAAATACAATCTTTAAGGAAATATAAATATTATTTTCATAAATTTCATACTTATAGAAATTAATGACTATTTAGGGACAATAATTTAGTAAGAGAAAAGAAAAGCTAAGACATTTGGTGGATAAAATATATGAATTAAAATATTTTATACAATGTCACTATTCATTTACGAGTGCTTCAATTTCATGGAGCAACAAGTTACATCTAGCTTAGCATGAAAGCTGTTGTGTTAATGCGCATCCGTTTTTTTTGCAACAAGCATCAGTTAGCCTCACGATATATTCTTAAAAAAGATCTTTTCAATTTTGAAAATTTGAGAACCTCTTAAGAATTACTTTTAAAACAAAAATTTGATATGAGTTTTCTAACCCTTAATATTATCCTAAAAAAAAATTAGAGGCTCAATCTCGTAACATTATTATTTATTTAAGTACATAGAATGACATTCGTAAATTTTCAATAAGTTATATCCCCAAAATTTGGGCCCTAAAATTACTCTCGGTCTTGGTTATATCGAAAACAATCGATAAACAACAGTATACTCCGGCGATCATTGGCCTCGGTTTAAAAACATTGAACCTTACATGGTCACTGTACCAGAGCTGAAGGCCAAAGGGCATTACAGTCATTTATCCTACCCCAAGTATTTACTATTCATTGACGCCTGCAGGCCTCTTCACAAACCTACTGAACCAGAGAGAGAGGGAAGAGAGAGGTTTTCAGTTCTTAAATGACCTCTCCACTCTCCATCACTTTCCAGCTTGTCATTCCCCATTTTCTTAGTTCTCAGATCAAAACCCTAGAATTCCAAATCCATAGATATCCCGTCTCCGCTGGCTCTTTCACCGCCACTTTGCGCTGAAATCCTTGCTTAACCAGAGCTATGGCGTGTACTAAAGTCAGGGGGAATGAGGTTCTTTACTCAGTTTACTCGGTACTTGCCCTGGTTTTCGTCCTGATGGCTTGTGTTGAGCTCTGTGATGCTTCAGCTGTAATGGACGTTTACAGGTTGATACAGTATGATCTCTCTGGTTCGCCATTTGGGTCTCGTAGAGCTAGCTTGAATCACCATGCTGGTTCTGCTTTGTTTTCTCCTGGTACTGATCTTTCGCGTACGGTGATTATGGTACCTGTCCGTGAACTCAACATCACATTACTTCGGGGTAAGAAATGCCAAGTTTTGCTTTCAATCTCTGTAGTTTTCTTGGTTCTAGCTCACATATCTCACTCTATTATCTCTTTGGAGCTTCAATTAATCCTCTCTCTTATTTTTGATTGGGTTAGCTCTGTGTCTATATATATGTATATAAAGTTAGCTCTATTTAACTATTCTGTCATGGTTGAAATCAGGGTTTGAACGTTTGGGTTCAATTTCACGATTTCATGCAATGGGAAAAATGACAATTACTGAAACGGGAAAATTGGCGTTGGGTTTGTTCCTTTTTTCCTATTTCTTGATTGGATATTTCATATGATGGTAAAAATACTTGGGTTCTAAGCTAGTCCTGGTTAACATGGGGGAAAAGAAATTACAGTTGATAAATGACGCTTTTATTTGAATTTTCCACCAATGAGTGGAAAGGAGATCTGAAATTTTGACTAAAACTAGAGACCACAGTTTGGATCTTTGTCTGCAGTTCATCCTTGAGAAAGCAAACATTTTTGGATTGGTTTATGGATACTAAATGTAAATGGAGACGGTAATGTTGATTTTTTTTTTTTTTTTGAGAAAAGTTACTTAGAGACTGTAATGTTGAATTATAGTGCAGTTTTGAACCTAATCTATAAACAGAATCTTGATCACCTATAATGGATGAATTAAGGACACCATCACGTCTATCTACATGTGATGAATAGAGATAACATGTTTTGACTTATAAGTGTCTTTGGATTCTATCTTATAGAATTTGATAGATAATGCCTATGAGCAGTGCGCTCAGAATCGAGTTTTGGGTTTATAAACCAACAAAGAATCTTAACAAAAGTCTCGTCTCCAGGACTTGGGTCCATAAACCAAGAAAGCAACTTGACAAGGTCTCTTCCTTGATGACGATGGCTATCTACTTTTAAGACTGCTTTGTGTTAGGCTACATGTTTTGTAGTTGGAACTAGGCTACTGATTGCTTGCACATACTCGTCTTGATGTGTGAAAACTTGACCTCTTTTATAAATAGAACAACTGGAGGGTCATACTGAGAAATCTGTACTAAAATTTTTGGATTATTACTGCCTTCTCCTATATGTGTTCAACTATGAATCATAATTTCCAACCATTGCCATATTTTTCCTGGGATCTCTGGTTTCATCCATTTCCAAATAAATAGAGTTTATAACAAGATTTAGAATCATCCAATCTGACGGTTCCTAAAAAATTCGTTCATGAAGGACGGTGTGCCATTGTGACATCCAGTACTTATTCTTTGCATGCCCATTTTAGATAATTGAGAATTTGTTCGTTATACTTTACCTTACCCTAAAATAGGTGGTGATTTTTACAAGTGCACAAATTGTTCAGTGAAACAGAGAGCCAAGTATATATAAATAGCATGAGTCATTGTTCTTACTCACCTATATATCGATGCACATTTTTGTGCCATGTTGATGATGTGGACCATTTGGTTCTACTTTCTAGGACAATATTGTTATCATTTTCGTAAAAATTTAGTTCTCCACTGGAATGAATGCTACTGTAAGATGCCATCACTCATCGCTGGAATGCTCAAATTTAATTCTCTGTAGAGCTTGTAGTTCGTACTACTTCAATATGATCACTGGTTTGGATATTTGATTTTCCTTAACCTTGATAAATGGTGTTGGCATTCTAAGTTCATCTCGTTAGGTCTTTTATATCCTTTTTGTGTGCTGCCTGTGGTATCATATGTTAATGTAGTCATTTATACATTTGTATTTATGTAGGAATGTTTCTCTACCAATTATATTTACTCCCAAATAGAGCAATACCTATTGTGATAGTCAACGAAAATTTATGATTTCTTGTGTGGTCTCTTTACCTCAAGTGTAACAATCATTTCGAGAAAGTATTTTTATATCCTGTAGTGGAGAATTTTCTCAATGCACGATTTATATAAAAACTTTTGTACAGACTATCTGACAAATAAGTACCCATTGGGAGGACTACTACTTTTGCTTTCCAAGAAATCCGCCGAGGAAAAGGACACAAACACTGAGGAGGATGTGGGATTCATGAGGAGTGTGTTATCTGAAATCGAACAGTTTCTAATACATGCCAATATTCCTGTGAGTGGTAGTTCCGTTCTTTGGTTTACTATGGTTAAGTTTTGTTTATTATTACTCTAGATTATTTCTAGAAGTATCAAGCTATTGTCTGTGAATCATATAATGTATATGTGGTAATACTTGTCAGATAAGGATAGTTGGTTATTGTTCATAAGTTATTATTTTTTGGCATTCGTGAAGCTTTGTCAATGAGAAGGATAGTTCCTGTAGTTCATCTTAACCATCTCGAATAATTTTATATGTTCGACATGGAATATAGGAAAGTTATGCTATTGTGCCACTCAATTCATTGGTTTAAAAAATTTCAATTTGTTTACTAATGACACTGCCAGAACTGAGTTTACTTGACAATTTAATGATCTTTGGAAAAAAAAGAAATAATAAAATTATAGAAAAATAAAGGACGCATAATTTATGATTAGTTAATTTCTTACCTAAATAATGTACACTTATTTTTTTAGGCAACAACTTTATGTGCCAAATATATCTTTAGATATTTTTATGTTTGAGTGTGATGATAATCTTTGTAACTTTGACAATCTATATCAAAACATTGTTCTACAAATTTCACAAACTAAGCCTTCAAACGAGTCCAATCTATCTCCAAATTCATAGACTGTGTGTCATACATCTAAGGCAAAGGATTGGAACTCACTCTTTCTAGTTAAGGGTCATAAAAAAAACATTGTGCACGGATGGAACGTTGTCCAAATTGAACACTAATGCTATTTATCTTTTGCATGGACAAGATATGCCATTCTAACCAATTACAAAATTATTGAGTAGACAATCTACCAATTTTAACAAATTATGCATACTTCCAAATGAATATTAACTATTTGAGACTTATATCATGGTGCACCATACAACTTTTTTGTAGAGAAGCACTAATCTTACCTTTTATTGCTTAAAACAGTGTTCTACAAATTTCACAAACTAAGCCTTCAAGTGAGTCCAATATATCTCCAAATGCATACAATGTGTGCCATACATCTAAGGCAAAGGATTGGAACTCACTCTTTCTAGTTAAAGGTCATTAAAAAAACATTGTGCATGGATGGAACGTTGTTCAAGTTGAACACTACTGTTATTTATCTTTTGCATGGACAAGATTTGCCATTCTAACCAATTACAAATTTTTTGAGTAGATAGTCTACCATTTTTAACAAATTATGCATACTTTCTAATGAATATTATCTATTTTAGGCTTATATCATGGTGCACCATACAACTTTTTTGTAGAGAAGTACTAATCTTACCTTTTATTGCTTAAAACAGTGGTGTTGGCCTATTATTGTCTTGAAACACATTATATAATCTACTGCCTAACACTATATCACTTGTCAACATATAATCCTTGTCGGTGATCTTTCTGGATCTTGTTTGTTGTTACATACTGCATGAAGCTTCTTCTTCGACCTTTCTTGGCTAAATCTTGCTCTGTAATCTAGTGTGTGAATTGCTGCAGTATCCTGTGTACTTTGCACATGAGGAGGAGAAGGTGGATGCTATATTAGCTGATGTTAAAAAGAATGATGCTACTGGTCAGCCTGCAACTGCAACAACTGGCGGGTTAGTTTATTTATTGATATTATTCTACTTTACTTATTGCTTTACGGTTCTACTTCATGTTATAGCTCTGCATGATTGTTTCTTGTTCTAATGCTCTAAATTATGATATTGGCATCCTTATATGTTCTTATATACTTATGTTATGAAAAGTGAAAAGCTCATCCATGGATATTTGTGTTGCTGATCATCATGGTCCTTGATATTCTGATGTATTCAATGTTAATCCAAGAATTAAGTGATGAATATTTATAATATTTCTGTAAATGTAGGACTTTAATACTTTGATCGGAATAAATTACCTTGGTAACCAAAAATATAAATGACTGACTTCAATGAAAGCTCTATGTTGCGGTGCTTATTCTCAGTGGTATCATGTGATAGATTAATTTGGGAATCTGTCTTGGGGCATGATGCACGTCAATGCTGTGGACACAGTTACAACATCAATTGTTTGTGGTTTTACATAGGAATTTGAAGTATCCAAAATGGATGTGACCCGATTTTGAAGTATCCATGCATCATAGGTCGTCCTGGGAAGCCCTAGTTCATCTGGAATAGTATTGTGATTTTCCTGTAATTTGATCACTTAGGAAGGTGTGTTACACTTCTTGGAGGTTACATTGGGTTTCTGGAGAAGTCTCGGTTGTTTTTATCTGCAATTTTTGTTATTGATATTTGTCAAGTATCTACCAGGGGCCCAGGACTGGTTTGATGGCAGATGATTTGGTGTATGTGGATGTTTCTAGAGAGGACTAGGGGTTCTGTCTTTGTTAAATTTCTTATCTGCTCCCTTTGCTTAGTAATTTGTTGGACGGAACAAATTTTGTTTGTGAAATCCCGAAGTAGCTATTCATTGAATGTGAAATTATGCTTGTGTGCTTTTGAAATCTACAAATTATTTTTAAGTCTTTTGGCATGGATGCCTTGATGATAGACAATCTCTTCCGAAAGATAGCTATAAGGTGGGAAAGTATACACTGAAAGAGATACTCTTGTCAAGATGAACTTATGAGCATTTTGGATTCCATTGGCTATGTTATTCAATTCTTCCTTCATTACTATTAGCTTCTTGCTATTTGAACTACTAAAAATCTATTAGCTTATTGCTATTTGATCTTGTTTTTAGTAGTTTCTTATGTTCATGCAGTGAATTGGTAATGCAGATATTGGTTTTTCGTGCTTGCTTGTTGTGTTAGTCTTTCTTTTTTAGTGTTTCTGTGCTTGCAAGTAATTTTGAGTTTTCTATGACTACCTTATGAAGTGAGTTTTGTAATCCATTTTCTTTTGGATTATTGCAGCTTCAAACTTGTCTTGTCTGCTCCAGAACCTAAAAAACTTGCATCTCCGACCCTTACAAACATTCAGGTCCTTTTCTACATCCCTATGTTCCTATGATTTTCCATTGGGTTCATTGTTATATGCTGTCACAAGGTACATAAGCAGGGTTACAAAAAGATATTGGAAGCAAATAAATAGCTTGGATTGTTTTTAGTTAAGTAACATGAAATTGTGTATATTTGGAGAAAAGAAGTCTGATAACTGAATATAGGAAAGAGCTCCTGAAATCTGTCTTCTGCTTTCCCTTTGAATTAATGGATTTGAATAATTAAAGCATAAATATAAAATACTGTTGCTTGGATGTTAAAAAGAGCAAATTTGGAAGATCAGATTCTTGATTGCGAGCCTCTATGGATGAATTAAGGTTAAAATTGCTGAGATATCATCAAAAGTTAAAGCTATGGTAGTATATCTGATGCTCAGCAATGTGTGAATTTGCTTGCCTTCTGATAGGGATGGTTACCAGGATTAAAAGGTGAAGGTGATGGTGCTCAGCTACCAACCATAGCTATAGTGGCTTCATATGATACGTTCGGTGCTGCACCGGTGGGTAACAACTCATATTATGGGTTCGAATAATATAATTTTGATAAATAATTTCTTCTTTATACTTTATTTGTATTTTGCAGGCACTAGCTTTTGGAAGTGATAGCAATGGAAGTGGGGTTGTAGCATTGTTAGAAATAGCAAGGCTATTTTCCCGCCTTTACTCAAATCCAAAAACAAGAGGGAGATACAATTTATTATTTGGCTTAACTTCTGGGGGCCCCTACAACTACAATGGGACACTGAAGGCAATAAGCTAAACAGCATTCTGGGCCTTTTGCACTTTCTTGTGTTTATCCATTTCGTTTGGAAGTTTGTCTAATCAATGTTCTCTTTTACTTTTCAGTGGCTAAGGAGTTTTGATCAGAGATTGCGAGAGAGCATTGATTATGCTATTTGCTTGAACAGTATTGGTTCCTGGAAGAATGAGTTATGGCTTCATGTGTCAAAGCCTCCAGAAAATGCCTACATAAAACAGATTTTTGAAGTGAGCTTGATGCTGCCTTGTTCCCAACAAATGTTCTAACCTATTTATGAAAATGTGAACCATTTTACCAACAGTGAATTTTGCAGGACCTTTCAACTATCAGCGAGCAATTGGGAATTACAATTGGTCTCAAGCACAAAAAGATTAATATTTCAAATTCACGAGTAAGTTTTTGTTGTTTTTTTTTTCACAAGTAGAGACCTCAATTTCGTTGTTGATCTTCCTAGTACTGGTATTTGATGCTGGTACTATCAAGTTATAATCATGTCTGATTTCCATCCTGCGTGCTGAATTGTAAGAGAGAGAGAGAGAGAGAGAGAGAGAGAGAGAGAGAGAGAGAGAGTAGTAGTACG